AGCTGATTGATGCTGGTGGGGGAGGGGAGCAGCACACTGCACAACATGGAGATCAAACAGCACACATGGATGTCTCACTTGTTGCTGTGTCTGAACATCGAATCCAGTCCTGGGCTGAGTGTCCTTTCTTGGAGGAAGAGATGACTGCTGGAGCTTCCATGGTTGCAGCAGTGAGTGCGGACATTGCTGTGAAGTCTATGACTGTTGAGACTGGTAAAGCAATGGATGTGTTGGTGGTGGGTGGAGGTGAAGGGGTTAACGTTGCTGATAAGACTAAAAATGACATTTCTCCCCCTGCTGAGCAGAGAGAGGATACACCATCCAATCCCGGATTTGTGCAATCGGTATCTGCTAGAGTTGCACCAGATGCTCCCAGACACACAAATATTTCTGCTGCTGGGAGGATTGGGGGGAGCTATGCCTCTGTTTTGGGGAGTCGCACCAAGGGGGGTGGTGGTAGTGTTGGGAATGCTAATGGTCACAATTTGGGGAGGTTTGGTGGTGGGATGGTTGGTGGGGTCAGGAGAAGGAATGTGGTACAGTTGAAGTGGGAGGGGGGAAGGGAACCCACCAGTAAGGGGGAGGGTGGCGGAGTTGATTCTAGAGATGGGGTTTAAAATCTGTGATGTGTTTGCGTTGATCTGCCCAGTAGGCAGCTATGAATACGATTTGTCATTTGTAAAACCTGAAGGCCTGGACCTGTTTTGGGAGAGATATTGGAGGTGCAGGAGCCTTCAGCAGTGGAAAGGTTTGGTGGCAAAGGTTGTTTCCAGACAGCCTTTGATAAAATCGGTGACAATCCTGGTCCGGAATGAATCTATACCAGAGGCTGATTTACAGTTGTGACCAAAATTATTCAACCCCCAATGCTGTAAAGGGGTTTAGGGACTATAGTGTACATTTGGAATTGTATTCAGAATCAAATCCTACAAGGACGTTGTAACTACCCAAATGCAACTAAAATGACATCAATTGTTTATGTAATACAGTAGTAAATGGTTCTTATGTGGTTTCTTCATTGCCACAATTATTCAACCCCTTAAAGACTACCACTCTGAAGAACAGAGGTTCATACAGGTGCTTTCCATCAGGTATTGAAAACACCTGTGGATGTCACCGAGCAGCAATCAAGCATAATAAGCACCAATTAGGCAGCTTTAAAATGACTGTGATACTCAGCTCCTTCTAGACATTTACTGGTGTGGTTACAAACATGGTGAAGGCAAGAGAATGGTCCAGGAAGACAAGAGAAGAGGTGATTTCTCTTCACAGGAAGGGCAATGGCTATAAGAAGATTGCAAAGATGTTAAACATACCAAGAGACACCTTAGGAAGCATCATTCGCAAATTCAAGGCAAAGGGCACTGTTGAAACGCTACCTGGTCGTGGCAGAAAGAAGATGCTGACTTCGACTGCTGTGCGCTACCTGAAGCGTAGAGTGGAGAGAAGTCCCCGTGTGACTGCTGAGGAACTGAGAAAAGATTTGTCAGATGTGGGTACAGAAGTTTCAGCCCAGACAATAAGACGCACACTGCGTAATGAAGGCCTCCGTGCCAGAACTCCCAGGCGTACCCCCTTGCTGTCTCCAAAGAATAAGAAGAGTCGACTGCAGTATGCCAAAAGCCATGTGGACAAACCACAAAAGTTGTGGGATAGTGTTCTGTGGACTGATGAAACAAAATTAGAACTGTTTGGGCCCATGGATCAACGCTATGTTTGGAGGAGGAAGAACAAGGCCTATGATGAAAAGAACACCTTGCCTACTGTGAAGCATGGTGGAGGGTCAATCATGCTTTGGGGCTGTTTTGCTTCTGCAGGTACAGGGAAGCTTCAGCGTGTGCAAGGTACCATGAATTCTCTTCAGTACCAGGAGATATTGGATGGAAACGTGATGCAGTCCGTCACACACCTGAGGCTTGGGAGACGTTGGACCTTTCAACAGGACAATGATCCCAAGCATACCTCCAAGTCCACTAGAGCATGGTTGCAGAGGAAAGGCTGGAACATTTTGGAGTGGCCATCGCAGTCACCAGACTTAAATCCGATTGAGAACCTCTGGTGGGACTTAAAGAAAGCAGTTGCAGTGCGCAAGCCTAAGAATGTGACTGAACTGGAGGCCTTTGCCCATGAAGAATGGGCGAAGATACCCGTAGATCGCTGCAAGACACTTGTGTCAAGCTATGCTTCACGTTTAAAAGCTGTTATAACTGTAAAAGGATGCTGTACTAAGTACTAAGATTGAATGTCACTTGGGGGTTGAATAAAACTGATAATGCTGTGAGCACAGAAAAGACATTTGTGGTTATTTCATTTATAACTGTTATGTTATATTTGTCTGACCTACAAGTGCCTCTTTAATGTAAATGTAAGCAAGATGACTGAATGATCAAAAGCAATGTCAAACTGGCCAAAACACTCAATTTCAGTGGGGGTTGAATAATTTTGGTCACAACTGTAGTAGTTTGGCTACGCCGACATGGTGAGGTCTTCACCCCACTGCGGAAGGTTCTGGATGAGCATAGGATATGGACAGGGGCCTGGACGGTGTCAGTGCAATTGAGGGTGCTGGGCAATGTGGTTCAGCATCTTCCCTGCTCAGCCTTTCTGGGGAGGGATAGGCTGACCATTTTCTATCAAGGTCAGCCTAAAGTTTGTAACAAATGCAGAGAGAAAGGCCATTTTGCATCGTCCTGCACCATCAAGAAGTGCTCACTGTGCCAGGATTTTGGCCATTTGGCCAAAGAATGCACCGAGATTCGATGTAATTTGTGCCAGCAGCTGGGTCATCCATACAGTCTGTGCCCAGAGGCACTACACAACCTGCCAGGACTGGAGGCTGAGCTGCAGAGGCTGGATAAAGAGGATGAGGCAGCTGATGCCAGGGAGGAAACTGTTGTTGCCCCTCCTGTGTCTCTTCCGTCTGTTGTGTCAGATTGTGTTTCCCCCGGTAATGTCACCCCTGAGTCTGTCCCTCCTGTTCCTATGGTACGTAGATCCTCCAGACTGGCGGAAGCTGCTGGGGGGGCTGGTTTAGTGGATCTTCCCTCTCGGGCCTACTCCACCTCCGGTACTTGTCCCCCGTCAGCGCAAACGTGGTCAGGAGGTTGTGGGGGTGCCGGATGGGGGTGGAGCCGATGGGGCTCAGGGAGGGGTATCCATGTCCCATGTCTCACCTCCTGCTGGGGGGGATTCGGCTGATGAGGGGTGGGAGAGGGTGAAGGAGAAGAGGAAGAAGAGGAGGATGAGAAGAGCTGTCCTCTCTTCCTCAGAATCAGATCCAGGCGGGGTCCCTCTTGGCAATACTTTTTCAGTTTTGTCAGGTGATGAGATGGTATCGGATATATCCATTTCTCTATCATCTATGGATGAGGGGGAGTCACATACTCTGAAGAATGCTGTTTCGGGTGATGAGAGTGTGGTAGAGGTTAAGAAACGACTACCCCAATCATCCTGATGGCAGTTCCCACTCTGTTAAAGGTGGCGACCATTAATGTCGCCAGCATTAAATCTGCAAGAGCTCGTGATACGGCCTTATTTTTGCTCAGCGAGTTTGATGCTGAGATTTTTTTTTTGCAGATTTTATTTTTGCAAGAGACCTGGCTCAATACATTAGCCGATGTCTATCTAGCAAAAAGGGAGTGGAGATGTGGTCCCTCCTTTTGGTCTCTTGCGGCTGAACCTTGCAGCGGAGTTGCGGTCCTTTTTAAAACCGATATGGTAACGTGCCGGCGGGTAATTGAGGTAGAAATGGGGAGATGCATGGTCTTAGACGTCTCTGTTAGGGGGCAGGACCTGCGCCTGATCAATATCTATGGACCACAGTCAAAATGGGGCAGGAAATGCCTCCTCACAAAGATCAAGCCCTTCCTTTTTACGTCCCAGCAGGTTGTCTTTGGAGGTGACTTTAACACCATAATTAGGCCTGAAGACAGGAGAGGCTCCATAGACAGGCTGGGTTATGATAGCGTTTTTCTCAGAGATTTGGTTAGACAGGCAGGCCTGGTAGATGTGCACATTAAGCACTGCCCTGGCAGCACGGGGTTCACATTTCAGAGAGGGAATAGTCAGAGCAGAGCAGGATAGACAGGTTTTTTTTGAAGGAGAACTCTGCTTTCTCGGCTCCTGAGTTGAAGGCGGTGGAGTTCTCTGACCACTGTATGCTGTCTGTGACTCTGAATGCCTCGGACACTCCACCCAGGGGAAGGGGTGTCTGGAAACTGAATTCGGCTCTCCTGGAAGATGTAGAGGTAAGACAATCCTTTGAGGATTTTTTTCAGGCACAGGTTTCTATTCTGGACTTTTGCAGCACTAAGTCAGAGTGGTGGGAGCTTGTGAAACAAAGGGCGATTGGACTTTTCAAGGCCATAAGTAAGAAGAAGCAGCTTGGTATGTATATTGCCTACCAGCATTTGCGGAGGAAGCTTGATCGTCTTGTCTCGTATGGAGGAGATCCAGGGGAGATCTCTGAAGTGAAGCTTCTTCTTAGGAAGTGTCAATACGACCGGCATGCCTCCTTGGTTCTGGAGAGGGATTATGGGAAATATCACTCACCTGATCCTTACCAGAACTGTAAGCAAGGCATAGCAATTAAGACGGTCATTGGCCTGAAAGACAGTACAGGTTCCCTGATAAAGTCCAGATCAGGGATCTTGGAGATCTTTGGGTCGTATTATGCAGACCTCCTGGGAAGAAAGGACCTTAGCCGGGACAGGATGGAAAGCTTTCTGGATTCTACTCCAGGATTGGGAAATGGTGCATTGCTTTTGATGAATTTGACAGAACCAATTTCAGCAGATGAGGTAGTTCATGCTATAGACAAGCTGGCTACCAAAAAATCGCCTGGGCCAGATGGATTGACAGCTGAATTTTACAAGTGTTTTAAGTCCATTCTGGCTCCCTTTTTAGCGGAGGTTTTTAACAGCTGTCTAGAAGAGGGTTTGCTCCCTCCCTCCATGAGGCAATCCGCTGTGATTCTTCTGTCAAAAGGTAAAGACCCCTCAATGATTGAGAACTGGCGCCCCATCAGTCTTCTCAATGTTGATAGAAAGATCTTGGCAAAGATTCTTTTTTGGCGCTTGTCGTCAGTAGCAGGCGATTTGTTGTCCAGCCATCAGCACTGTTCGGTCCAAGGTAGAAGTACCTTTTCAGCAGTTTTGGCTATCCGGGAGGCTTTGGAACGATGCAGGGCTGCTGGATGGAGAAAGTACTTGCTGGCATTGGATCAGGCGAAAGCTTTTGATCGAGTGAATCATGAATATCTGTGGTTGCTGCTTGGTAGATATGGCCTGCAGGGGAGGTTTATAGATTGGCTGAAGACATTATATAAAGGGGCTGAGAGCTTCCCACTTGTTAATGGTTGGGTTGGGTGGCCTTTTGAGGTTGGCTCTGGTGTGCGCCAGGGATGTCCTTTGAGCCCCCTGCTATATGCTTTCGCAATCGACCCCTTTGTAAGAAGGCTAGAGGGCGCATCGTTGTGCGGGGTGCCTCTGGGCATTGCTGGTGTGCCGCCTTTGAAGGTCGTTGCCTATGCTGATGATGTGTCTGTTATTATCTCTGGGACTGAGGAGGCGCAGGAGGTGGTCTCTGTGATAGAGCAGTACACGGAGGCTTCTGGCTCTAAAGTCAACCATGAAAAGAGTGAAGTTTTCTGGATGGGTGAGGAGGGTGAAAGCTTCAAACTTCCGGATGCCTTCCCAGAGCCCCAGCAGGAAATTAAAATTTTGGGCATCAAATTTGGTCCTGGTGACTATGGTCATCGAAACTGGGAAAGCAGGTTAGTAGTTGTCAATGCCAAAGTAGCGAGCTGGAAGAGATGGAGGCTTTCCTTAAGAGAGAGGGTTGACTTGATCAAAACTTACCTGATCCCGATCTTTTTATATGTCAGCTTCGTCTGTATCTTGCCAGTATCTCTCTATGCACGGGTCTACAGCTGTTTTTTCCAACTGTTATGGGGAAATAGGCTGAACTTGATCAAACGCAATGTAACTTACCTGTCCAGGCGGGAGGGTGGCCTAGGAATGGTCAACCCGATAGTTTTCTTTTCTTTGCTCTTTTTAAAGTACAATCTTGGTAATATGTTAGCAGAGACCCCGCCGGGATGGGTGGGTATTTTTCAGTCTTGGTTTAGGCCTTTTCTGCATTGCTGGGAAGATGGCGGCCCAGTGAAAGGTCTAAGAGTCCGACATGGCAAGCTCCCGGCTTATGTTGCCCCGTGTCTGAAAATACTTCGGCAGTGGCAGGTGACAGTGGAGGGATATCAGGTCCCTTCCCAGGAAGCTTCTGGGGGAGAGGATTTTGGCTTCTGCTTTCAGTGTGTCACTGGCCTTAAAGGATTGCCCAGGCTCCGTAATGAGGGAGGGATTGTGTTTAATTAACTTGGAGAGAATCCCTTTGAAGTTTAGGGATCAAGCCTGGCTCGCTTTTCATGGAAGGCTCTATGTGAGAGGGAACCTGAAGCACCGCCCTGTGGATGATCGGGATTGTCCTAGAGCAGAGTGTGTTGGTAAAGTGGAGTCTATGGACCACTTTCTGCTCCTGTGTCCCTTTAACATAGAGGTGTATAAAAGGGTGGGGAGGGTTTCTGGGCATCCCCTTTCTCTATCGCATGAGTTATGCAGAGTGGGTGTACGGGGCATTCCCAGCTCGCTGGGACTTTGATTTGGATACACTTTTTCTAGTTAGTATAGTTGTCCGTTACTTCAAATGGAACGCACGGTGTCGGATTACCCTGCGGAAGAAAGTCCTCCCTGTAGAGGTGGTGGTGCACGATATTCTGGGTGAGGTTGGGAAGATTCGGGGTCTTGAGAGGGTCAGAGAGCCTCGGGCGGTCTGGATAAGGGCGTGGAGGAATATCAGACCTGCCTTTGGTGAACTGTCCATCTCTGGGTGAGGGGCTCTTTCCTTATACTGTTCTTTTCACTCCCGTAGTTTTTGTTGATTAAGATCTTTTTTGAAGAAGGGCTGCATGCATAAGGGGGGTGGGGTGGTTTCTTGACCTCACAGGTTTGATGTCTGGTGTAGTGATGTGAGTGGTAGTACGATTTATTTCCCCAATTATGTCAAGTTCATTTCTGAGACGTTTGCTTTTGTCTGACAGCAGATTTTGCTATGTTTATTTTTGTTTTGCTGTAAATATATATAATTTTTTTATATTCTGTATAATATTTTATGTTGATTGCGAGACTTTTAATAAAGAAATATTGGGAAGAATGCTTCTTACATTGGTGGTTAGTCGGAAGAATGTCCCTTACATTGGTGGTTAGTCGGAAGAATGTCCCTTACATTGTGGTTAGTCGGAAGAATGCCCCTTACATTGGAGGTCAGTGGGAAGAATGCTTCTGACATTGGTGGTCAGGGGGAAGAATGCTTCTTACATTGGTGGTCAGTGGGAAGAATGTCCCTTACATGGTGGTCAGTGGGAAGAAAGAAATGCCCGTAGCGAAATAAAGAAGAAATAGCGCAGGGCATACATGACTAGGCCCAGAGTGGGGGAAGGAAGAGCAGAAAGGGTTAAGGTAGCTCCAGGGGGATTTGTTATTGTTAGTGGGGGGTAGCTGATTGGTAGAGGTTGGTGTAGGTGGGGTTTTGCTGCACCTTAGGGTGGGAGGTTCTGTGAGGGGGGGCGTCAGTTAGCTGGACGGCAAGAGTGTGAGCTTCCCTCCCGCCCTCCCTGTTTGGGTGAGTTTTGGGTCCCTCCAGGTAGAGGGGGGGATTATGTTGGTTCATGGGCGGTTGTTGGTCTTTGGAGGCGGTTCTTCTTTGGAAGGTAAACAACAATGGTGTGGGACCCATCCGTGGTATGGGATGCCCGGGGACATTCCCAGTTAACCAAGGTTTAACTGGAAGGTGGTGGTGCTGCACTGCGGACGGTATGGTTGTCTCCGAGCTGGTTGGTTGCGGCTGGAGGCCTAGTGTATATGGTTGTCCGCAGGTGCATTTCGGATCGTTTTGGGGTGCCTTTGAAGACAACAACAATTCTGTGGGTTTCTGTTATAAGGAATGGTTGGTGTATTGTAACTTGAGTTGTTAATAAAAGGCCATGTTGGCCATTTACTCCAAAATTGGTGTTATGTCTTTTGTTAGTATAATTGGTTAAGGGGAAGGGGCTTGGTGCGCGGAACGGTAATGGTGGTAATGGGGAAGTGGACGAGCCTATCTCTGGTGCAATAGTCATGTCCCTTACATTGGTGGTCAGTGGGAAGAATGATCCTTACATTGGTGGTCAGGGGGAAGAATGCCCCTTACATTGGTGGTTAGTCAGAAGAATGCTCCTTACATTGGAGGTCAGGGGGAAGAATGCTTCTTACATTGGTGGTCAGTGGGAAGAATGCTTCTTACATTGGTGGTCAGTGGGAAGAATGCTTCTTACATTGGTGGTCAGTGGGAAGAATGCTTCTTACATTGGTGGTCAGTGGGAAGAATGCTTCTTACATTGGTGGTTAGTCGGAAGAATGTCCCTTACATTGGTGGTCAGCTGGAAGAATGCTTCTTACATTGGTGCTCAGTGGGAAGAATGCTTCTTACATTGGTGGTCAGCTGGAAGAATGCTTCTTACATTGGTGCTCAGTGGGAAGAATGCTTCTTACATTGGTGGTCAGTGGGAAGAATGATTCTTACATTGGTGGTCAGGGGGAGGAATGCTTCTTACATTAGTGGTCAGGGGGAAGAATGCCTACATATAGCTAAAAATATAACTGCTGTCAGTGTTTACTTATCTGAGTAGCTGAAATTGCTCATTGCTGAAGGAACCTTTAGCATCCTCTGGTTGAGGAAATACTGCTCTAATATGTGTATTTCATAACATGACACAAACAGCCACCACGTACAACTTAGCCTTTCACACTGTGCTAAACAACTGAATGCTGAAATCTGATTGGTTGATTTAGACTAATGCACATTGTTGCTGTTTTATCTAATACCATTACACGTGGATGTAGATTACAACTCCCTGATCATTCTCCGATGGATCTCACTAGGTTCTGAGTCATTGTCTGTAATTTATTAGAATTTCTTATGAGCATAATAGGATGCACTCAGCCTTCACATTTCAGCATCTGGGTTGTAATTCCCTCACATAAATCATTTTGCATACACAATAGTTCCCAGCTGTACTGATCAAAGCTCTGACTATCTATGAAGAGGCCGGTGATAGGATCTGACACCAGTGCCAACAGATACCTCTTTTTCATTAAAATACGGCGACTGTTTGGAAGCGTGGCATTGTAATGGTGCATGTAAATTAGGAAATGCAGTGTTGTCTTGAAGCATGTTTAGAGAAAAACACGCATTACGCTTGACTATTTCAACCGCAATTGACCTTTAATAACGCCAACGGCTTTGGCGAACAGAGGATGCTGTCACATTTAAAAGCCATTGCATTGTCTGTGATCTATAAGATGCTCAGTGCACAGAGGAGTGTTAACCTGTCGCCTTATTTACTGTAAGTAACAATAGATGTGGTTTGAATATAATATACTGTATATATTTTGTTAATATTTCATTGGCTTCTTTTTTTTATTAGCGCTGAAATTGATTTTACAGCTGACAACTGAGCATGTGCAGCAGCAGCTTGTAGTATCATATTATTATTATTATTATTATTATTATTATTATATACAGGATTTATATAGCGCCAACCAGGGGCGGACTGACAACTCATGGGGCCCCCGGGCAATAGGGGATCATGGGGCCCCTGTGTCCTTGCCCAAACTCAAAAAAGCCTATGAAAAAGATATCGGGGCATCTCATGGGGCCCCCTACTGACCCCGGGCCCTCAGGAAGTGCCCAAGTTTCCGAATGGTCAGTCTGCCCCTGGCGCCAACAGTTTGCTCAGTGCTTTACAATATAACGGGAGACAATACAGCAACAATACAGTTCAATACAAGAGGGATAGGAGGGCCCTGATCCTTGGAGCTTACAATCTAGGAGGGAGGATTATCACTAAATTTAAGTAGACCTGAGCTATGGAAGTAACAGGGTCATGGATAAGGGGGTACCACCAGCCCTGCTGTATGGGGCCCAGGCCATCAGGGGGGCCCAGGCAGCTGGGTGGATCAAACACAGCAAATTCTTTACTTCTTCGCTGGGGATGGACTCAGCAGAGGCTGAAATGACAATGTGAATGTTCTGGAATGGGCACTGCTTGCTGCCCTCAACGGACCGGGGTTGTCCAAAATCACTAAATGCAAATGAAAAAAACTGACGCGTTTTGGGGACTCAGCCTCTTCCACTAGGTCGGTGTGCCCTCTTTTTGTTTTTTATTTGCATTTAGCTGGGTGGATCAGATGTTGGCAGGGAGGGTGATCTGCATGGTGGGGGAGGAGTACTGGAACGGATCCCCTGTATGGCTCTCTCTGCAGCAGCTGAGAGCTGGCTTTTTCTCTTCTCCCTCATGCTGGCTTTTAGCTGCTGCAGAGAGAGTTTTACAGGAGATTGCTTCCAGTAATTGCCCCCCCCCCCCCCAACCCCACCACACCCATCACCCTCCCTGTGCACAATACATTTCCCCCTGCTTTCCAGGCCCCCCTCCTGTGTGCCCCCAACCTCACAGTGCTTCAGGCTTCCCTCCTCTCCTTCCCACTGGCTGCTGCAAGCACACAATAGGTTCCTTTTAGGATGGAAAGTGGGGTAACAGTGTCACATTTATACAAACAATATACGCCGTGCTCCTTAACTGCAGAAATACTGCTACAGGGCAGCACGGGTGCGCAAAATCACGTATACATAGATCATTTGCATTTACGGGTAGGGAGTGCATGCACCGCCCTACCCACGCCTCTATTCATAGACTCGGCTGTCAATCACCGGGTCCCAGATGGTGATTCCCCGCCGGCACCCGGCAGTCGCTGAGTATCACTGATGGGGGAGAGACCTGTGTATAAACAACACAGATCTCTCCCCTGTCAACTCCTGCACACTGCTTTGTATTGCTCTGCATAGCAGAGTAATACAAAGCATTGCGCTTACAGTGTAAAGCACAGCACACAGCAAAACACACACAGCACACAGTTACCCCTTTGATCGCCCCAGATGTTACCCATTCCTGCCCAGTGTCATTCATACAGTGTCAGCGCTTTTTATGAGCACTGACCACTGTATTGGTGTCACTGGGGATGTCAGTGACACCAAATCAGTTTCACTCAGTGTCAGAATGCCCGCAGCAGTCCCGCTATAAGTTGCTGATCATCGCCATTGCTAGTAAAAAAATAAATAAATTCCAGTATCTATCTACCTATCTATCTGTCTGCCTGTCTATCTATTAGATAGATAGATAGATATTAGATATCTATCTATCTAATATCTATCTATCTATCTATATTTGTCTGTCTGTCTGTCTGTCTGTCTGTCTGTCTGTCTGTCTGTCTGTCTGATGATC